ACCAACAAATGTGAGATCTATTAGCTGTAACGTGTTATCAGTTGGGGGATGGCAGGAGAATTTGCCCTCTATTGGGCAACCCAGGATCCAGCCTGTGTGGCTCAAAGGTGCTCCTGTCCTGGGCCCTTCCCAATTTTGCAGTGGAATTAATAACTGGAACTTCTTAGGCTTGTAAGATACTGACTGGAGAGTAAGGATTCTGATCTGAAAGAAGATGCTACTTCATCAGAGAGGTCTTTGAGCTCTTATGGAGAAATTAAATGGAGTCTTGGAGAATGGGTTCTACATGCTTTTACTATGTCATTATGTCCTAACGAATTATATACTATCAATTAAGGCCTATACACACTCTCAGTCTTTTCATATAGAATAACTTAAAATAACTGTCCTAGGGTCATTTAAGCCACAGATGAAGTAGAAACTAGAACCCACATCTCCAAACTATGACTTGGTACTCAATCCAACGCGCACACTAATTGCTCCCTGAAAAAATATTTCTGCGTAGGTACCATTGATGACCAGGGAATTTTGAGTCTGCTGGGAAATTATTAGCCCAGAGCAGGAGGCCTGGTTGTTGATTAAACAGAGCTGCCGCTGGTTAGTGTTAGGAGACGAGGCTAGATCTACAGAGCTGAGGCCACAACCAGTGAGTGCAGAATGTGCAGGGAGGCTCTGAAACTCCGCAGCAGGTGAGCATGGCTCAGCACACAGAGGACTTCAGAAGACAAACAGCACCTGTTTGTTTCTGGAGATTTAAAAAATAATAACATTCCAGTGTTGCAGGGAGACTGCAATTCAGAGACAAACAAGTTGGAGAGAGAAATTTTTGTTCGGCCACACTAGTGATAAACACTAGGGCAGGGTATTGCCTTATTACAAGGGAGTAATAGCTGGAGGGGCTAGAGACTTAATTTATTTTTGATGTATTAGTGTCTTTAATGTTTTTAAGCCTACAGCACCCAATATTCCTAAGCTTTCTCCCATCTAAGTACTAACCAGGCCTGATCCTGATTAGCTTCCAAGATCAGATGAGGGGGCCGGCCCGTGGCTCACTCGGTAGAGTGCGGTGCTGATAACACCAAGGCCGCGGGTTCGGATCCCATATAAGGATGGCCGGTTTGCTCACTGGCTGAGCGTGGTGCTGACAACACCAAGCCAAGGGTTGAGATCCCCTTACCGGTCATCTTAAAAAAAAAAAAAAAAAAAAAAAAGCTGACAAGATCAGATGAGATCGGGCACGTTCATGGTGATATGGCTGTAGACTTTTATTGTTTTAATGAAATTTCATTTTACCATTAAAATTTTAGTTCTCCCTGGGCACTTGAGACAAGAGCATTATTACTGGATATCTTAAATATATATTCTTAAAAACAAACTCTGGTAACTCTGGCAGGGTTACTTTTGTTAAAATCTTTGTCATCTTCCAACTCCTGATGTCCTGGTCAGGTCTGTGATTTCCTAATCCACAACCCAAAAACCAATGAGAAGTCTTTACAACCCACTCATTAATATTATATATTTAAATTCATAGACTCTCAGGTGAGAAGAGACTTTATATCTGATCTAAGCCACCCTCATTTCTTGGCACATGTCCCCTCCGCGATATGTGCCAAGGCACAGTCTAGCTTGAATATCCCACTGATGACATGGGACTTACTGCTTTCCAAGGCATTCACTCCATCTCTGAGCACTGAGACACTCCTTATGTGTAACATCTTACACCTTCCCCAAAGCAGCTTATCTCTGCAAATTGTGATAACTAGTGAAAACAATTTCTGATGTCATCCTTTGTGGCTTGACTGTAGAATCACAAATACTCCTTATTGGCATTGTTACCAAGTTCTACCAAAGTGGCCACATGTATCTGTTTGTTTAAGCAGGGAGAGGAATTCATGCTAAAGTTCATTTCTAAAGGAAGGTACAGTGGCGTTACTAAGGGTGACTGACTGACAAAGGATCTTGTGGTTTGGGTAGAAGATGAGTACAGAGGAGGTTCTGACTCTGGGGTGGTTTTGAGGTTATATAATAAAGCCAAGATGACACTTCCTGTGTCGAGACCTGTTTTCTAACCGTACTCAGGCCTTAGAAAGGATATTTGCACTTGAAACAGAGATGGTGGCTACTAAGGAGGGAATTTGGTGCTTTTTCATAGTGTCATCTCCAGCCAAGCAACCCTGGAAATCTATGTATAAATACATAAAATGCTAAATCTTTATGAGAGTTATAGTTTAGCATAGTCTTAATATGAGAGGTCAGAACTTGGTAGAATTCAGAGAAACCTTCAGGGGCAGTTGTTTGCTTCCTGTATTCTAATCCAAGGGTGGAGGCAGAGGACTTGGTCTCCACTTCTGAAATAACAACTCCCTCAAATCATTGGGGTTTTTGTTTTTGTTTTCTTTTCCTTACCATTCGAAGGTGTTTATAAATAACAAAGAGACCAAAAGGGAGGCCTGTGAGGATGGTAATGACTCACCACCTGGAAACTACAACTCAGTGGTACTTCTTAGGAATTTGTTTTGTTTGTTTCTTCCTCAAACTCATAACTTGTCATTTTGCTCAAGGGTCACATTTTCTCAGAATAGTGTGCCTGAGGTTCCTCCAGCTGGTTTCACATGATTAGCTATTTACCAAAGCAGAGCCAAGCTGGGTGATTCTTTCATAGTTAGGCTAAAGAACAGGGTTACCCAAATCTTTTCTGCTTGAACAGGAAGTATACTTTCCTGGCAAAAATGGGCTTCTCTGCCTTAGTCCTCAAGAAGTGATGGGAAGATAAGAAATAGCTTCCTGAAATATGCAATGAGCACATCTGGCACAGGGGCATGGAGAAGTACTGTAGGATTTGAGCCATCGGGCACAGCGCCCCAGGGTATTAGTGGAATCCGAACGAGGGCTCTTCTGCTCTTCTTCCGAGAGCTTTAGGACTGGTAAGTGCAAAGGATATACATTCCCCTCCCTGGCAAGCTTTCTTTCCTATAAAAAGGGAAAGGATAATAAACCACTATTTCTCCAAAAGCTATTCTCTTGGAAAACCAGAGTCTTGTGGTATCCAGTGTGGAGAACCTATCCAGATTTTCATCTTTAGGGACACTTTAAGCCTTGGGATTTAAAAACCACTGGGCTGCTTCCCATTTTGCAGTCATTTCTGGATTGTCTTAGGGCATATGGGACTGCAGGACCCTAATTAACTGAAATCCCCACAGTACCAGATGCAGAAGGCCAGAAGTCAGTAGTTCTCTCTCACCAAGCTGTTCATCAAGGCTGTTGTTTCCTGGCAGTAGGACTTCTCTAGATTTCGATTCTTTTTTATTTCTCCTGCTCCGAAACGGTGAAAGAATGTTAGATGAGGAAAGTGGAGGAAGAGAAGCAAGAAGTGGAGAAGGAGGGAGATGATTTTTTCACAACAGGATAATGTGCCTTAGACAATCCAGTGTTGCCTGTATTTCAGTTTAGATTCTTGGACTTTGTTTCTTCTTATTTGATCTAGAAGAACAGGCTGGGGCAAAATTATCCAAACCTGGAATCATGGCCCAAGGAATATTTCATACCAAGCTTTGGGGCAGGACTTTTGGTATAAACATCTCTCCTCTTTTAAACTGCATTGCTGTGTCAAAAAAAAAAAAAAAAATAGTGCCCTCTGTCTCTGTGACAAAGCTTCAAGGCAAAGTCTTTGAACCATAGCAATGCATGGAATCAGATGTCCTACTGTCAAAAACTTTTAATGGCCTAATCCAAACCAGGCTATGTAGATCAATCTGTATACAATATACCTTGTTTTACTCTGGTCATCAGCATTATTCCTCATAAAACCAAACACCCACTTAGTCGCTGAGTGGTCAGATCCAGAAAGAAGCTTTTCTGCCTTTACATGGATGACCTTTTGAATAATTGAGCAGACAAAGCATGGTAATGTGAAATATTCATAAGTCACTGAGTCAACTCTAGTCAGCCTCTTGGTGTTTTTATTTTTCTCTGGTCCCAGATGTCTCTCCTGGCTCTGGAACAGGAGAGACTAGTTGTAGTGTCAAAAAAGGGAGCAACTAACCAGAAAACACCTGTTATCAGGTTTGCACTTTTCACTGACTTAGAGAAAGCCCACATCTCAGGCTGGGACTCTCTGGAGTAAACTCCTGAAATAGTACTGGAGGGAGCATCTAGGGTGCCAAAGACTGGCTACTTGATGTGTGGTCTACACATCAAGTAGCCCTTAGACCCCATGTGAGAGCACTTCCTGTTCCTAAAATACCCTTGGGATCTCTCCAGTGAGGCCAGAGGGCCGAGGCTGAAGCCCCAGTTGAGCCCCATTCGCAGCTGAGATTTGCAGAGCTCCTCTGAGAGACTGGCACGTTAGTATTCCAGAGACAGGCATTCACATTCTGTACCTCGTCAGCCCTCTCCAAGCCGGTCTCAGCACAGCACCTACTCTCTCTGCTGCCCTTCTACTCACACAAGCCTGAAACGGCCAGCAGCTCTGCCAGACTCTTCCACAGCTGCTCGCATGAAGTCCGAGCACAGCGCCACAACCACAGAGCAAATGAGGGAAGTGGGACCGAGACACAAACATCCTGTCCTTACTATATCAAGTGGCTCCAGCTCAAGAATCAGAGTCACCACGCTGAATATTTCTGTGGGACTAGCTGCCCACTGGCACGCATAAACTCATCATCCTTGTAGTTGTTGCTAGTCAGCATTTTCTCCTGAGTCCATGGGCTTAAAAGGTGGTACTCTTTGGCTTTTGAAGTCGGTGACAGGAGACAGTGAGTGGGAATGACCCTGCTGACCAGGATGAGTAAGAAACCATTGAGCAGAGCCTGGGCAGCAATTCTACTCAGAGCAAAGTCAGTGCAGGCTTGCTGGAAGTTCCATCTCTTTCCACAGACCAGTTTAAGAGAGAAGGGGATGAATCACGTGCAAAGAGCTAGAGCTGCTTCCTCCACTCAGTCCTCACCATCTTTCCGGGACTCTCCCATGCCCAGCACTGTTCTTCCTTGCAGGACTGGGGGTCCTCAGGCCAGGTCTCACCTTGTATATGACCGCTTCCAGCTAAAGATCTCCTCCAGACTGGAGGAGGGAGAGACCTCCCGCTTCTGCAGGGGTCCCCAGCGACGCCGGCCCCCTAGGAACGAAGCTCGGCGCCTACTCAGCCCTTTCATCCTCTCTTCGGTTCGGAAGAACTCTGTCAAGGCCCGGAAGGACTCCAAAATGACCTCGTGGCTCCAGGCTGGCAAGGGCTCCCGGCGCAGGAAGCCACAGTGGCCTCCATGGCGACTGAGCAGGAGGAAGAAGTAGGGGTTGCTGTGAAAGAGCTCCGTGGGCAAAGTGTGGTCTGGGGGCCCACACACGGGGTCATCAGCACTGCAGATACACAGCACAGGCACAGCTGCCTCGTCCACATCCCGGAGGGGGTCGTTGCGGTCCCAGTAGGTATCCCAGCTGATGGGGAAGCTCTTGGTGTGGCAGAAGAGCGTCTCCTCAAACTCTCGCAGGGAGCGGCTCCTGAACAGTTTGCTGGTGTCCACTGTGTCTTCCAGGGCCGTGGCATACCTGGCAGCAAGAAGTTGAATGGGGAAGGTGGGAAAGAGAGGGAAGAATCAGAGCACCAAGTGACAGCTGAAGTGACAGAGTGGCAGCCCACAGGCCAGATTCTGGCCCCAGAGGCTTCCTTCGGCTGTATAGCACTTTTAAAAACTTCCATTTTATGGCCATCACTTACAATCAGGAGATTTCACATAACATGCAGAAGCCTGGCTTCTCTAAGGAAGTGGGAAGACCTGGCCATATGGGCTGGCATTCCTCAAGGCAACAGTTGGTTTCCTCTCTCCTTCTTGTGTCCCAGTGCCCACCAGGCCCATCATTCATGGCTTTAACCTGCCCAGCCCTAGGGGCAGCATTTGACTTCACTGCTGCTGATCTACAGGGACAGCTCTCCTCCTGACCTGAACTTCTGACCCTCTATAGGGAGCTTGCAATGAACTGTCACTTTCTGAACCCTCCTAGAAGAATTCCCTGGCTCAGACTATCCAACCCAGCAGAAGACACCCTTCCCCTCCAATCATTCATATTTACTGTAGGTTGCAGTAGTCATTTTTATTTTTTTTAAGCTAATATGCTGTCCAATCATTCATATTTACTGTAGGTTGCAATAGTCATTTTTATTTTTTTTAAGCTAATATGCTGTCCTGATGATTATATATGAGTGTGACTTTGATCAGGTATACCTGGGGCAGGTATTCCCAGAGAGTGCTGGGTGGCAGAAGAAGCAGCTGGGAGTGTAATTAACTTACTGGGTGAGTTTCCAAATGGGGGCCTGAGAGCAACTGCTTTGGGGAAGAGGGACATCTTTGCTATTTCCAGCTCCTTGGAGAGGGCTTGGCGCCCTAACAAGGAGGCCAGGATGGGCAGCTCAGTCCTCTAGGTGGCTCAATCCAGCCTCAGCCAAATGAATTTAGATGTGTCTCCTGCAAACATTCAAAGACACTTGCCCAAGGTTTTCAATCCCAAACTTCCATGGGAAGGGCACTTCCTACAGGCTCGGGTTTCCTCTCCATTTCCCTCACCCTGCCCTCCAGCTGGGGCCCAGGGTCAGCACCGGTGATGGAGATTTGGGGATGGAAATTATGGCAATTAACCCAGATGAGAGCACCCTGCCCTTGGACTGGGCCCTAGTGCCTCTGGGTTGCCATGGCAGCACTTCTGGGCTGTTGGTGAGCTGAGGGTTTGACCTTCTCAAAATAGGAGGCAAAACGGGACAAGGAAAGAAAGAGAAATAATTGCCATCATTTATTGAGTTCCTACCTGGTGCCAGGCCTGTCACTTTTGTTCTCTCATTTGGGAGGTGGTTATTATTAGTTCCATTTAACTGAAGAGGGAGGTGAGGCTTGAGGGGGTTAGCTAACTAGCTGGGAATCGAATCCAAGGGGTCTGATCCCATATCCCAGGTCTTTCTGTTACACCACACTGTTGCCATAATATCTTCGACCTCATTCGGCCATCTCCTAGGAAAGCAATAGTTAAGGCTGAGAATGTCACTCAGGCCTTCTCAGTAGGATAGTCTCACCTATCACCCTGGTAGTAAATTGTTCTAGTTTTGGAGATTTTTAAAAAATCTGTTTAAATATTTTTTAAAAAAATTGTATTAAATATTGAGTACATACCCTGGGATACGTAAAACATTTGTCAGGTCTAAAGAATTTTAATATATCAATTGCCACTGTATTTCTGATTCCTGTCACTTCCAGGCTCAGATACTATGTTAAGTAAACATTCTGGACAGATAAATCAGTTGCAATTGCTTCCAGAGCCCTCTTTGCTGTCAAGCTGTGGATTAAGAGGTGTTAGGCACGGCCTCTGCAGCTGGTGGGGCAGGTGCTCGAGTTGCTAGGACACCTGCGGACTGAAATGAGACAAGTCTCTACTATAGCACAGTGATGCTGAGTCTATCTAAGGTTTTTAAGCCTGCTTCCCAGGTTCTGTCTAGGTTTGGATAGCTTCGGAAGGTGCAGAAGTGTGCCCAAACTGCCCACATCTGTTTGCTCCAATACCAAGCAGCTCGGTCCCTCAGCCAGCTCACCACCTCTGTTCCCTCCGTGCCCGTCTGCAGCCTCCGTCACCCACCTGCTGAGGGCGATCTTTTGGTGGAGCAGAAAGCCCCGCTCGTAGGGCCAGGGCAGGCCGGCCTCGAACCACTCGCGGCAGCGCAGGACGGGCGAGATGCAGGCGGCGCCCGTCACGTAGCTGGAGGAGCCGCATTCGCCCAGGTAGGACAGCAGGAGCGCCGAGCCCGAGCCCTCGCTCACCGCGAACAGCTGGGCCGCCGGGTGTCGGAAGCGGATGTAAGTGACCGCCTCCTTGAGATCTGAAGGGTCCCCAAAAGGCTGCAGCCGGGGGCTGACCAGTGGGCAGCCGTGGTGGCCGCGGCGGTGGAAGATGACCGGGTAGTAGCCGCGCTCCAGGGCGAGCAGGCAGAGGCCGAGCACGTTGCGGGTGAGGCGCCCCCACGCATTGGGGATCACCAGCAGCACCGGCGGAAGGCCCCCGGCGTTGGTGACCCGGCGGCCCCGGGCGCAAGGTCCCACGACCCAGTCCAGGGCCACCAGCCCATCGTCCGCCAACTGCAGGTACTCCCGGGCCAGCTCAGGCCCGGGGCCCACGGGCAGGACGAAGTGGCACAGGGTCTGCTGCTTGTCGCAATCGCTGTACAAAGGGCCGGGGGCTGCTTGTCGCAATCGCTGTACAAAGGGCCGGGGGCTGCTTGTCGCAATCGCTGTACAAAGGGCCGGGGGCTGCTTGTCGCAATCGCTGTACAAAGGGCCGGGGGCTGCTTGTCGCAATCGCTGTACAAAGGGCCGGGGGCTGCTTGTCGCAATCGCTGTACAAAGGGCCGGGGGCTGCTTGTCGCAATCGCTGTACAAAGGGCCGGGGGCTGCTTGTCGCAATCGCTGTACAAAGGGCCGGGGGCTGCTTGTCGCAATCGCTGTACAAAGGGCCGGGGGCTGCTTGTCGCAATCGCTGTACAAAGGGCCGGGGGCTGCTTGTCGCAATCGCTGTACAAAGGGCCGGGGGCTGCTTGTCGCAATCGCTGTACAAAGGGCCGGGGGCTGCTTGTCGCAATCGCTGTACAAAGGGCCGGGGGCTGCTTGTCGCAATCGCTGTACAAAGGGCCGGGGGGGTCCGGCATCCGGCCGGCGAGGGGCAGGGCGAGGGCGGGCGCCGGACCCCGACGGCGGGTTCGCGGCGGGAGGCTGCTCGTTCCGTCGCCTCCATCCGTGCGCTGTCCCGCGGACTCCCGCCCACCCCGGGAGCCTGGCTTCACACGGAGGAAATCCTCCAGAAGAAACAGCCCCGATCTTCGAGAACAAGTTGGGGGAAAGGCTTAGGTGCCCTGCGAGGGGGGTGCCTGTCACCCTGCCATCGGGCTGTGGCAGGGGCACCCTGGAGTTCCTCCATCAGCTCCACAACTGGAAATTACTGGAGGGAGCGGGAGAGGATAAGGAAAGCCTTGTAAATCGGGGGTATGTGGGAGACGACTGAAACGACACGTTCTTGCTCAACTGTTTCCACGTCTTGGGCTGAGCATCTCAACTCTCACCCTCCACCCTCGTTTCCGTCTTTCCTCAAAACCCTGAAGAGGGCACCAGAACCGGCGCCCCGCCGCAGGGGAGGCCCAGCCAGCGCTTTCTGTCGGGGGCGAGGCCTGTGGCTCCTTCCCCTCAGTGTCTCTCCGGGCGCGCGAGAGCCACCGCAGGGCGAACGACGAGAGCGGGGGCGGAGGTGGGCAACAGAGCAGCCCCTGAGCCGGCTCCAGCCTCCCGGGGTTCTGGGCCTGGGGAGGGCGGGGACCTGAGACCCTCCAGTCGCCACCAGGTTTGGGACCCATTTGCGAGGGCAGGAGTGGGATGGGCCGAAGGTGAAGCTCTGGAACCGGGGTCCTCTCCCTTCGGCAGCTCCGATTTCGCGATTCTGCTCCTCTTCTAGTTGCAGGTCACACTGACGACGAGTCTGAAGAGGGTTTGCCAGGGGAGCGTACCGTCTCCCCGCCCGGGCCACCGGTCGACAGGGATCCCGTCTCCCGCCCTTCGTGCCGCTCCATGATCCCACCCAGGCGCTGCAGCTGCGATGTGCAGGCCGCGGAGACGCGCTGGGACGAAACCCGGGGCGAGGGAGGTGCTCCCCGCCTGCGCTAAGGCGGATGTACGGTACAGCAGGCCACCAGCCCATCGTCCGCCAACTGCAGG